GCATATGGTGCCTTATTTGAAGTAGAACAAGGTGCTCCTTGCTTCAGGTCCCACAGCCCCAGCAGTGTGCACAGTCGGTCTGCACTTGAGCTCCCTTGTCTGGGTAACCTTATGGAGGGAACCACCTGTACGCCTTCAAGCAGTTAACACCTGACTACACAAACGTACAAATATGGGAATCCATATATTTAAAACATATTTTAAATACTGTGAAACAGTTTACGAGATGTCCCCTGTATAGCTGTAAGCTCCTTTTCTCTTCTGAGGCAGGGTTTGGATTTGGGAAAGACAAGATCCTCCTCTTTGTGTGAATGTGGTGTGCAGCTGGCGTAGGTCCCATGTTGGAGTGTGGTAGCATCTGGAGAGAGAGCATTTCCAAAGTGAACTCCAGACAAGTCATCATGTAGAACACATATCTCTTGGGACACTTTTCCTGGAATTTTCACTGTCTTTTTTTCCCCTTTAATCTGGGCTTCCCATCTGAATGTTTAAATTTTAGATCATATTAAAACATTCCATCAAACTTCACTACTTGTTAATTTGAGAATACATTTTCATAAAACTAAATACAAAGTTTTTTTTCTTTTTCCAGTTGCCAGTGATCAAGAAGTTCTTCTGTTTTATAAACCTTGAAGTTGGGATTTCCACCAAATATCTGATTTTCTATTGTTGCCATATTTTGAATTCAAGTAGAAATAACTATTTACATTACAAATATTATTGCATCACATAAATTAAGAAAAATTTGTATGGCTTCTGATAGAGTAAAGTAATATTAGCAGTTTGTTTGTGATTGCTCTGAAGTATCCTATAAATGACTTAAACTCCCAAAAGTATTACTAACATGATTCCTAATATATGTAATGTCTCTGTGGATAAACATTGTAACTTAAAAATATAGACTTCACAATATCTTAACTTAAATATGTATCAGTTTTTTCAGATTGTTTAAGCTTTGTTAAGACTTGTTGCTACAGAAGAATTCATGAAGATAACTGACTGATTCTGAGTTTAATTTGAGATTTATAAATCTCTGGTTTATATTTCATGAAAAACAGGACAATTCTTTTCTTTTCTGATTAGTATCTAAAGTTCTTAAAAAGTTATCCATATTGAAGGGAGACAAGATGGTTAAATAGGAACAGCTCTGGTCTGTAGCTCCCAGTGAGACAAATGCAGAAGGCAAGTGAGTTCTGCATTTCCAACTGAGGTATGCAGTTCATCTCATTGGGACTGGTTAGACAGTGGGTGCAGCCCATGGAGGGTGAGCAGAGGGAGGATGGGCTTGAACTCTGCTAAGGGACAGACTGCCTCCTCAAGTGGGTCCCTGACCCCGTCCTGACTGGGAGACACCTCCCAGCAAGGGTTGACAGACACCTCATACAAAAGAGCTCCAGCTGGCATCTGGCAGCTACCCCTCTGGAACAAAGCTTTCAGAGGAAGGAAAAGGTAGCAATCTTTGCTGTTCTACAGCCTCTGCTGGTACTACCCAGGCAAACAGAGTCTGGAGTGGACCGCTAGCAAACTCCAGCAGACCTGCAGAAGAGGGACCTGACTGTTAGAAGGAAAACTAATGAACAGAAAGGAATAGCATCAAGATCAACAAAAAGGACGCCCATACAAAAACCCTTTCAGAAGGTCACCAACATCAAAGACCCAAGGTAGATAAATCCACAAAGATAGAAAAAAAACAGTGCAAAAAGGCTGAAAATTCCAAAAACCAGAATTCCTCCTCTTTTCCAAGGGATCACGACTCCTCACCAGCAAGGGAACAAAACTGGACAGAGAATGAGTTTGATGAATTGACAGAAGTAGGTTTCAGAAAGTGGGTAACAGTAAACTCCTCCGAGCTAAAGCAGCATGTTCTAACCATTCTAACCCAATGCAAGGAACCTAAGACCTTGATAAAAGGTTGCAGGAACTGCTAACTAGAATAACCAGTTTGGAGAAGAATGTAAATGACATGATGGAGCTGAAAAACACAGCATGAGAACTTTGCAAAGCATACATAAGTGTCAATAGCCGAATTGATCAAGTGGAAGAAAGGATATCAGAGATTGAAGATCAACTTAATGAAATAAAGTGTGAAGACAAAATTATAGAAAAAAGAATGAAAAGGAACTAATAAACCCTCCAAGAAATATGGGACTATGTGAAAAGACCAAACCCACGTTCCATTAGTGTACCTGAGAGTGACAGGGAGAATGGAAGCAAGCTGGAAAACACACTGCAGGATATGATCCAGGAGAACTTCCCCAGCCTAGCAAGACAGGCCAACATTCATATTCAGGAAATACAGAGTGTAAGATTTATTGCCGAGGTAAAATGAGGAAACTGAGGCAAGTATAAAAAAATGAGAAGCTAATTTATTCAGCTCCCGGGCAAGGTTCTGTGGTCCAGGAAGGGGCCAAAGAAGTCGTGTCTGGCTGTTCAGGGCGTGGGGTTTTATGGGGAGGGAAGGCAATTGATTGGCTATTGGGGAAACAAAGCAAAGGCAATCTTATTGGCTGTTGAGAAGCAGGAAATACCTGGAGCTAGTTGCCATTGGTAGGCAGGTGGGACCTTGGGTAAGTGGGCCTGCTGGGGGTGTACGGGGCAGACTGCTACCAGGCAGGGTTTGGTGGGTCTTCCTTAAACATTTTTCTGCAGGGTTTTTCAACAGCGGGCTGGGGGTTGGATGCATAGTTTAGTGCTGAGTGTGGGCTTGGGTATGGTATGTGGAGGCGGGTGCGGGGAAGCCATGTGGTGAGGCCAGATAACAAGCTTGGTTTATGTAGTTATCAGGCGCGGAGAGAGATGGATGTGTCCATTTAACCCTCTGCGAGGCAGCCAGCCTTACATTCTGACCTTTTTAATGATATAGGATGCTGCTTCTTTCTGACTACTTCCTGTTGAACAGGGGCAGAGTGGGGGAGGTCAGTTGGCCGGTGCCTCGGTTGTGAGTCGGATGTAGGGGTGAAGCAGCATTTGATTTACGTTACCCTGGAAATTTCCCTTATGCGAGCTTGTGAAAACCTGAGAAAGAAAGGGGCTATCATTAGCAAAAGACAAATTACGATAATGGGAGTGATGATAGGGGTTAGCCAGGTAAGTATGGCAGACTGCCACCAGTTAAGAGAAAAGGCTGGTACGCTTTGTTTTCTTTGGAGGTCTTCTTGAAGACGATAGAGAGTGTTGACATTTTCTTCCACTAGACTGGTTTCATTAATGTAATAACAACATTGTTCCTGGAGAAACAAGCAGGCACCTCCTTTTTCTGCTGTTAACAGGTCTAGGGCCCGCCGATTTTGGGGAGTTACCTGAGCCAGTGACGTGATTTGTCGCTGGAGGGATGCCAGAGAGGCGGTTGATGCCTTAATGGCCACTTGGAGTTTGTCTTCTAGCTGAGCAGCTGAGATGACACTGTAGCCCAGGGCGCTACTCCCTATTCCAGCTGCTGCTAGAGAAGATGCTAAGGAGAGGCCAACAATTATTGGGAGGAAGATGGCTTGTTTACTCCGGTGGTTTGGGGATGGAGTGACAAGGGACAGGAATTCAGTTTGTCCATATACTTCTAACTGTGGGACCAAGGTGGCTGGCACACAAGGGAAGGGAAGAGACGTATTTATAACTTTGGTTAGAGTTCCATTGCACCAAAAGTACCCCCCTGGAGGCACATAGAGGGTGGAGGCTACCTTTATTGTAATATTGCAACTGGAGTCGTTGATGGTCCCGTAGCAGAGAAAGAGACTTTGAGAGTGTACCTTAAACAGGTGGATGTTGTTAAGGGGGAATTAGGCTGCCCTGTAGGGGACTGTGACAGGTTGAACCCGGTCTGGAGGGGAACTGCAGCAAAGGGGGTTGTTGAGGGAGACACATAAAAAGCAGTTGGTGAAATTTGTGGATTTGGCTAAATTTAACATGTTGATACCTTGTTGAACTAGAGTTAGCCAAGAGAAAGGTTGGGAGGTGTTCTTTAGGGGTTTGAAATGGTTAGTTAAAGTGGCTTCATTTTGTAGGATGGCATTGCCTAATGAGTTGAGCTGGTCTATTTTCACTGGCACAATGCGGGTGTAGGTCCAGAGTTTTAGCCATGTGCCACTAGAGTGTCTATCTGTGTGTGAATTGCATATTTTACCTGTGATTCCCTTTTCCTAGCGACTGTTTCGGGGTTGCGGATGGCAAGTTGCACTTTGCCTTTGCCGTCGGTGCCGAGTATTTTTTCTGTGATTCTGTGTATGACACAGGACCTATATGGGCATCCACCATAGATGGCGTTCCACCGATGACAGTAATCTTTGGTTTGGTCATACAAAAAGCATAAAGCCGCGTTGCGCCAGCTGCCTGTGAGGAGAATGCCTGGGAGGATTTTGGCCTTTGATGCTTTAAATTCAAGTACTATGGTCGACTGACAGCCTGCAGGCAGACAGTCCTCTTGGGCAAGGTATTGGGTTTTGGTGGTTTTACTTTCTGTCCAGGATTCCTGAAGATAAAAGTGCCAGATGTATGAGTTGGCTTTAAGAGGAGATATTAGAAGCATTGTTAGGAGAAGAACTTGAAGGGCTAGGGGGCGACTGCCAGGGACAATGCGTGAGGCAGAGGCGAGTAAGGCCCAAGGGTTCGGGCATCCACTGGGCATTCTTGGGGTCAGTTTGAGGAGGGACACATGGTACCACGGGGCATGACCTAAGAGTTTAGCGGCAGTTGGGGTGGTTAGGATAACGATATGGGGTCCTGACCACCTGGGCTGTAGAGATCCTGGCGTAAGTTCCCGGAGGAGAACACTGTCACCTGGCTGGAGAGGTGTTGCCAGGTATCCGTGGTCTCCCTGGAGGTAGGGAAGGCTTCAATCCATCCAGAAAAGGTATTTACAAAGGTTAGGAGGTAGTGAAGTTTTTTGTGAGTGGGCATATGAGTAAAATCAGTTTGCCAGTCTTGGGCCGGTAGGTTGCCATGCATTTGGTGAGTAGGAAACTGTGGCCTTAGGCTTCCTTGAGATGAGAACTTGGAGCAGATTACACATGCCTTGTGTACGTGCTCAACGGTCTGTTGCAGACCAGGTGAGAAAAAAAGAGGCTACATAAAGCGGTGTAATGCCTTGGGCCCGATATGTAGAGATTGGTGGATTTTAGTAATTTTTGAGGCCTGTTCCCGAGGAAGGGCGATTTTGTTATCTAAGAAGATCCAGCCCTGATCAGACTCAGTTCCTCCTCTTAATATGAGGGCCTGCTTTTCTGAAGGCGAGTAATTCAGCGGCATGGCCGTAGTAAGGAACAGAACTGGAGTGGGGGCTAACCTGGTACTGGTTAAGGATTTTGCGGAGGCATCTGCACTTGCATTGCCCCGAGAAATGGCACCCTGCTGGGCCTGGTGTCCTCGGCAGTGGATGACAGCAACTTCTTTGGGCAATGACAGAGACTGCAAGAGGTTAGAGATCTGAGTAGCACTGATTATGGGGGACCCCTTTGTAGTAAGGAATCCCCACTCTTTCCAGAGAGCAGAGTGGCAGTGGGAGGTGGGCGGATGATGGGCTTGAGTGTGGGGTACCAATGAGTTGGAGAGTGGCCCCTACCGTTTGGAGAATGTCTTGTCCAAAAAGGGGGACTGGGCACGAGGGTATGATTAAAAAGGAGTGGGAAAAAGGGTAAGGGTGTCTCTTGAGGACACAAGCTAAAGGATGAGTCTGATTAGGACAGGAAGGCTTGCTGTTAATTCCCAGGACTGAAATCTGGGAAGGTATGCTAGGTCCTGAGTAGGAAGGCAATACAGAGTAGGTAGCCCCCATATTTACTATGAAGGAAATGGACTTACCGGCTACCTGTAGCATTACCCTGGGCTCGGCAAGGGTGATGGGGTCTCCGAGTCTGGGCTGCGTTAGTCGTCCAGGAGGCCGAGGAGTTCAAATGAAGGGACTGCTTCCCTTGGACTGGCCTGCCCCTCACATGGAGGTGCGGGGGGTCAGCCTGAAGCCCAGGAGGGCAGTCTACCTTCCAATGTCTGGTCCGCTTGTAGATTGGACAGGGTCCAGGGGCCAGACGCGGACAGGAGCACTGTTGGGCCCAGTGTCCCTCCTGGCTGCACTTGAAACAGGGTCCGGGCAGGGCCGTTGAAGAATTTTGGGAGAGTTTTGATGGACTCCCTCCACCAGATGTTTGGTGGGCTGCCAGCCTCAGGGCTGCTACAAAAGCTTAGGTTTGGAGGCTTACCTTCTGCTGTAGATGGGCCTGTTGGGTGGCCTTAGCCTTTTTTTTCTTGGCTATTAAAAACTTTAAATGCCATGTTTACCAGGTCCTGTATGGGAGTTTGGGGCCCTCCTCAGCTTTTTAAAGTTTCCTCCTTATATCAGCCGCTGACTCGGGGATGAAGTGGGTGGCTAGGACTGTAGCCCCTGCTAAGGAGGCCGGATCCAGCTGGGTGTGGAGGATCATAGCATTAGATAATTGGTTAAGGAAGGCAGCTTGGTTTTTATTAGGTTCCTGAGTTATTTTCCTTAACTTGTCATAATTGACTACCTTTTGGGCTGCGCTTTGCATGCCCACTAGGAGGCACTGTAGCATTTGGTTTTGGTGGTGGCGGTGGCTATTTTGACCAGTTTGATAATTTTAATTAGGGTTGGCCTTGGGGACTGTCGCTGTACCTACTGGCATCTGATTGTCTGTGAGATGCACCTGATTAGCGTGTGCCCGGGCCACTGTAAGGATGCAGTTGTGCTCATCTGGGGTGAGGGTGGAGGATAGGATTACATACGTGTTATCCCAGGTTAGGTTATATGCCTGGGTAAGATAGCAGAACTCTTTGGTGTAGGCAGTTGGGTTAGTGGAGAAAGACCCTAGGCACTTCTCAATAGCTGATAGGTCAGAGAGATAAAACGGAACGTGTACAACTCTCCCGGCCCCGGCTACCTCACACAAAGGGCAGAGGAGTCGGGGGGGGGGTCATGAAAGCTGGTGTGAGCACTGACGGGAAGTTATATTAGGGCTTTGGGGAGGAGAAGGAGAAGAGGGAGGAGGAAGTTGAGGCCCTGCATAAGGAGCAGGGGGTTGGTAAAGCGGGTGGGTCAGGACAGGTCTTCTGGGTTTTTGGAGAGTGCAGAGCTGGGCAGGGCTGAGGGCAAAGGTGGGGTTTTGGCTAACAGGACCTAGGCAGAGGAACAAGAGAGAGGGCGGGTTGGGAGTGCAGATACTAAAAGGCCTGGACATAGGGGACCTCCGACTACTTGCCGTTCTTTTTTTTTTTTTTATTTAAATCTCTTAGGACATTGAAGTCGAGTGTGCCCTTTGGAGGCCACTTAGACTGGTTGCTTAGAGAGTACTGTGGCCAGGTCACAGTAGAGAGGAAGAGCAGCCTTTCCTTTTTTTATGGAAAGGCCCAGTTTGGGTAAATTTTGGACTAGACATCCCAATGGTGACTTGGGGTCTAGGTGGGACTCCTGATTACCCATAGTTTACTCTCTGTTTTGGGGGAATTAGGGGTGAGGAAGGATTCTAAAAAGATATTTTATCTAACACAGGCAGAAATACTCCTGTCCCAGAGGGGGTGGCCGAGAGAACCTACAGTCTACAACAATTATAATAAGAAAGAGAATAAAAGAGACAGGGCTAGGGCTATTTGCCACATGGCAGAGTTAGAGGAAATGAGGCCTCAGTAGTAGAAGAAGAGAAGAAGGAAAGAGAACAGAGTTACTTTTAGAGGCATAAATTCAGTAAAGGTTTCCTGCAGCTAGTGGTCTGTTACCCACTGTAGAATATTTCTTACTTTAAGGGAAGCAGGCCTAACCCACTGTATATCAGCTAACAAGAGTCTAACAAAACTGGCGAATTTACAATAAAGACAGAACCACATATAGGATTGACAGACAAAGGATGGGTGCCCTCCAGATGGGAGACCAGTCCGATGCCTTCTCAGCCATGTTCCCGAAGGGATGTTTCAGGGCGTCTTGGCTAAGGTATACCCATATAACCCCCGGGGCCTGGTCACCTCAGCACTTTCAGTCCTGAGGTGAATCACCGTTATGCCTTATGACGTCCCCGTGGAACCGCAGGTTGAGGCCCACACAAGCCCCATAGCCATTAGGCCATGAGACTACACATAAACTCACTCACTCACTCACTCGTGCTGGGGTTAGGAAGAGAAACCGAAAGTACAGTTACTTCACAGACGGGAGCTTGTATGCCAAAGGACTAGTTTGAGATTGTAAGCCGGGGGTTTGGTCCTGCTCCTGGGCAGGGCCCAGGTTTGTAAACAGGGCTTCTGATTACCCAAACCTTGGCAGCTGCTGCGGAGATGATCTGAAGAGCAGCTCAGCATCCAGGGCCGCGCCACCAAACACCGGAGGATACAAGAGGGTTCAGGAAGGTAGGGACGTCTCCCTCAGAATCCTGACCCTGAGAAATCCCTCATGGGGAGAAGACAAGAGTCTAGGGACGTCTCCTCTATGCTCAGGTCCTCAAGATGAGGCTGGGGCCCCAGGCCCATGGCGAGAGACGAGAAGGAGTCCCCAACACAGCTGTGATTACAAGCAGGGAGTCCATGAGGCAAGCAGCAGGAGGGGTTGTGGGTAACAGAAGTCTTACCTTGTGGCGGAGCAGCTTCCCAGTCCAGCTTTGAGTGGAGGAGTCAGTTTCCCCTAGGAGGGGTGTTACAACTCCTGCCGGGTTTTTCAGCACCAAATGTAAGATTTATTGCTAAGGTAAAATGAGGAAACTGATTCAAGTATAAGAAAATGAGAAGCTAATTTATTCAGCTCCTGGGCAAGGTTCTGTTGTCCAGGAAGGGGACAAATAAGTCGCACCTGACTGTTCAGGGCGTGGGGTTTTATGGGGAGGGAAGGCAATTGATTGGCTATTGGGGAAACAAAGTAAAGGCAATCTTATTGGCTGTGGAGAAGCAGGAAATACCTGAAGCTAGCTGCCATTGGTAGGCAGGCGGGACCTTGGGTAAGTGGGCCTGCCAGGGGCATACAGGGCAGATTGCTACCGGGCAGGATTTGGTGGGGCTTCTTTAAAAATTTTTCGGCAGCATTTTTCAACAGCAGGCTGGGGGTTGGATGCATAGTTTAGTGCTGAGTGTGGGCCTGGGTATGGCATGCGGAGGCAGGTGCGGTGATGCCATGTGGCGAGGCCAGATAATGAGCTTGGGTGATGACGTAGCTGTCAGGTGTGGAGAGAGATGGATGTGTCCGTTTAACCCTGTGTGAGGCAACCGGCCTTATACAGAGAACACCACGAAGATACTTCTTGAGAAGAGCAACCCCAAGACACATAATTGTCACATTCACCAAGGTTTTGAAATTAAGGCAAAAATGTTAAGAGCAGCCAGAGAGAAATGTTGGGTCACCCACAAAGGAAAGCCCATCAGACTCACAGCGGATCTCGCTGCAGAAACCCTACTAGCCAGAAGAGAGTGGGGACAAATATTCAACATTTTTAAAGAAAAGAAAATAACTAGAGAAGCAAGAGCAAACAAATTCAAAATCTAGCAGAAGACAAGAAATAACTAAGATCAGAGCAGAACTAAAGGAGATAAAGACACACACACAAAAAGAACTTTCAAAAAATCAATGAATCCAGGAGATAGTTTTTTGAAAAGTTTAACAAAATGAATAGACCCTTAGCCAGACTAATAAAAAAGAGAGAAGAATCAAATACACATAATAAAAAATGATAAAGGGGCTATGACCACTGATCCCACAGAAATACAGACTACCATCAGAGAATACTATAAATACCTCTATGCAAATAAACTAGAAAATCTAGAAGAAATGGATAAATTCCTGGACACATACACACTCACAAGACTAAACCAGGAAGCAGTTGAATCCCTGAATTGGCCAATAACAAGTTCTGGAATTGAGGCAGTCGTTAATAGACTGCCAATTAAAAAAAATCCCAGGGCCAGAAGAATTCACAGCTGAATTCTACCTGAAGTACAAAAAGGAGATGGCTCTATTCCTTCTGAAAATATTCTAAACAACAGAAAAAGAGGGACTCCTCCTTAACTCATTTTATAGGGCTAGCATCATTCTGATACCAAAACCTGGCAGAGACACAACAATAACAAAAAATTTCAGGTCAATATCCCTTAAAACATCGATGCAAAAATCCTGAATAAAATACTGGCAAACCAAATCCAGTAGCACACTAACAAGATTTTCCACCACAATCAAGTCAGCTTCATCACTGGGATGCAAGGCTGGTTCAACATACACAAATCAATAAATGTAATCCAACACATAAACAGAACCAATGACAAAAACCATATGATTCTCTCAATAGATGCAGAAAAGGCCTTCAATAAAATTCAACACCCCTGCATGCTAAAAGCACTAAATAAACTAAGTATTGATGAAACATATTTCAATAAGAGCTATTTATGACAACCTCACAGTTAATATCATACTGAATGGGCAAAAGCCAGAAACATTCTCTTTGAAAACTGGCACAAGACAAGGATTCCCTCTCTCACCACTCCAATTCAACATAGTATTGGAAGTTCTGGTCAGGCCAATCAGGCAAGAGAAAGAAATAAAGGGTATTCAAATAGGAAGAGAAGGAGTAAAATCATCTCTGTTTGCAGATGATATGACCCTATATTTAGAAAACCCCATCGTCTCAGCCCAAAATCTCCTTAAGCTGATAAGCAACTTCAGCAAAGTCTCAGGATACAAAATCAATGTTCAAAAATCACAAGCATTCCTATACATCAAGAATAGACAAGCAGAGAGCCAAATCATGAATGAACTCCCATTCACAATTGCTACAAAGAGAATAAAATACCTAGGAATACAGCTAATAAGGGATGTGAAGGACCTC